GTGTCCCCTCTGCCCTCTGACCTCCACACCCCATCACGTGGCCCTCTGCAGTGTGTCCCTCTGTATGGTAGAGGAGAGTGTCCCCTCTGCCCTCTGACCTCCACACCCCATCACGTGTCCCTCTGCAGCGGTCCCTCTGTAGTAGAGGAGAGTGTCCCCTCTGCCCTCTGACCTCCACACCCCATCATGTGTCCCTCTGTTTGGTAGAGGAGAGTGTCTCCTCTGACCTCCACACCGTATCACGTGTCCCTCTGCAGTGGTCCCTCTGTAGTAGAGGAGAGGTGTCCCCTCTGGTCTCCCTATAGCGAATGACCCACTCGCGAAGTTCTTCCACATAGTGAAAATGACTCTCCTGGGTGCATTTCCTTTCATTTCCTTAGTTCCCTGCTAGCAATCCGAAAGCAGATTTGAAGCCATCAGTTTAGGGTTTTGCTTTTACTCTTCCTGATAAGAAGGCCATTTGTTTACCTTATACATCAGCTATTTATTGACCACCTACTATGTGCCTGGAAATGGACACGAGGCTGGAAAAACAGAACTACAGGTTTTTAGCTATGATGCAAACCAGCTCTCAGATAAATGCTGTGAAGGGCTTGGATGTGGTTCAGCTGCTGCAAAGCTGACTTCTGATTCTGAAGTCTTTGTGGTCTACCAGGGGACACTTCTGCTCATAAACTCATCTTTTCATCAGTTTGATTTGTTATGAAAAGACCTTTACCAAAACAAAACCTCACTTACTTTGATATCTATACTTGGAGACATTGTCTCGACCTTATGTTTGGCAGACCCATCAGCTGGCTTGCCTTCCTCCATCCCCAGAGACTCTCACATAGATAAAAGCAGATGGAGCACTTCCTCTCACTGATGAGTTACTGGTGTGGTTAGAGCATGTGGGGGTTGGGGGGGGGTAGGGTGCCTAGGGCCGTGTTTTGGGGAAGGGGCTGGGGCTGCCAGTCTCTGGGTGCCAGCTGTCAGCGTGTGGTAATTAGTCGAGGTGAAGCGGAAAGCGCTGGCATCTAACTGATCCTCTCTTTAGCCGTAAGACAGCGATGTCCGACAAAGCGTTGTGGGGTCTTTGCCTGGAACCAAAGTCACGCTCTGCTCTCCTCTATTCTTCTGTGTCCGGCCTTCAGGCAGCTCCGGGGGGCTCCTTTGTCTCTGCGGACGCCCTCCTCGGCACGCTGGCTCACCCAGTCTCTCTCTGTGGTGCCCTTCACTCCTTGGAGCCTGACTTAGCAGAAAAGAATCCCCCCGTATTTGCTCAAAAACTTCAGGTTTGTAGCCCATTCGTGACCCCTTGGGAGTTTGTCAAAACCTCAGTAGAGAATGAACCCTTGAGCCCCAGATGAAAGGTGGCAACGTTGAACAAGGACCCAGCTTGTCGTTCCAAATGCAATCCCTTCCCAGACCCATACTTGGCCCTTTTAAACCCAAGATGCCAAAATGAGCCATTACATCCTCAGCAAACCATTTCCACTTTAGATTGGAAATGGGGCAAGTCATCATTTTTCAGAAGTCTTGCCCCAGCAATGCCCTTTGTGGTTTATCTGCCAAGTCAAATGTGTCACCACGAGCCAGCCTGTTTTTAGATGATCGGCCACCTTGGGCTCCCAGTGAGAGAACATCTGGATTGGGTCTTACATCTGGCCCCCAAACAAGCTGCACTGTGCTTCAGATTTGACAGTTGACGGCTTTCACACGAGGGCCCTTGGAGCAGACCGAGGAAGGCTGCTCACAGCTGTTTGGGAACGGCAGATCTTCCTCTGGAGGTCAGCCAAGTTGACATTAGAACAAAAGGAATCCAAGGAGACAGTCCTGTAAACACTGGGATCCCCTTCCAGACCTCCCCTCCCATCATGGTACAGCCCGATGGGCATTCAGAAGGGGGATTAAAACAGAGGCGATTAAACACTTATTTCATGATCTGCTGAGGTGCTAATTGGGGAAGAACCGTGTGGCGGGTGGTCCCTGACACGACGCATCCGTACCTTCCTGGGTGTGTGAGACGATGATGCTCTGTCCTGTTGTACTCCCTCTGGTCTGCGCCCACGGGCAGGAGGAGTTAGAGTTTGCCATCATGAGGATAGAAGCCCTGGAGCTGGCCAGGCAGATCGCCCTGGTCTCCCGCAGCCGCCAGGACGCCAAGGTAATGGGTGTGCTGCCCGCGGGTGCTGTGTGTCCGCTGCAGGCCGGCGCTGCTTCGCTAACCCTCGTCAGCGTGCGGTTTTCAGCTGGCTGAGAGCCTAACCCTTGTGGAAATGCATAGTGAGCGGAGTGAAACACAAAGCCAAGCCCACCGTACGGAGTCCTCAGGCTCCAGATCACAGGCGGAGACTGCCTGGCTTTCTCCTGAGGAGCGCTGGCGGACTTGAACCTTTGGCCTTGTGCTTGGCAGCCCCATACGTTATAACATGTGATACCAGAGCTCCTTGCAGTGAACTGAGAGTTATTTAACCCGTTAGTGAGAGGACCAGCAGTGGCCGAGGACACGAGACGTGGGTGTAATTCCCATCTGTGGGGAAAGAAGACAGGATGGTTGCTATAGTAGAAGTGGAACTTGGAGACTGGTTATGGGGTCTGTGCAAACAGCTCCATGCTCTGCTGCTGACGGAAAGGTTGGCGGTTCAAGTCCAACCTCACAAGACAGACTTGGGAGCTACCTCTCTCGAATGGCGTGCCTCATAAACTGCCTGGACCTCAGTTCTACTCTGACACGCATGGGTCGCTGTGAGCCCCAGCTGACCGGCTGTGACAGTTCAGGCAGATGACCCTGGTTGAATGAAGAAGGAAAAAAAATATGAGAAATGGATGTGTCTCTTCAGGAGGGTAAAGAAAGGGAAAATGAGGTTGCAAGGTTAGGTAGGAAATGAGTTAATGGTGGTGGTGGTGGTGGTGGTTTAAACAGAATGAAAAAGCCCAAGCCTTTGAGTTGTTTAGGGAGCGCTGGCTGTGGGTGGGGCGCAGTGCTGCCCGTCCAGGGTTGGCACCTCTGGTGAGTCCACCCGCGACCCCGAGGGAGAAAGATGAGCAGTTTCCTCATGATTTGAAGCCTCTAAAAGCTCGCTGCAGGCTCAGTGTGAATTGATTTCAACTCAGCATGGAGTGTTTTTACTTTTAAATTTTTTTACTACAGAAATTATAGGGAGTAGGTGTAGTGGTAAGGAACTTGCTTTGAACCCAAAGACAGGTGGTTCAAATCCACCAGCTGCTGCTTTGGAGAAAGATGGACAATCTCCTGTGTGATCCACTTACTGCCTCGGAACAACCACTGGAGGGTCAGCATAGTGCATAACAACAGTAAGAGAGACTGTTTGCTCCTCGAACACAAATCTGTAACTTTTCTGAATCTTTTTCTAATACCTAATGCCGTGGAACAGACCAAGCCCAGCCCACTGTCATGGAGCCAGTTCGGACTCCAGCCCCTCTCCACCCGGTTCCCAAGGCTGTAAGTGTCAGCAAGAGCAGACGATGTCGTTGTCCCCCTTCAAAGAGGCTGGTGGATTTGAACTACCAGCCTTTTGGTTAGCAGCCCACGACAACACCAGGGAAATCACAGACCCACTGGAATCCATCAGAGGGGTCCCCTCTAAGCCCCCCAAATCCTTATGGCACACTAGCTCTCAACTCCCATCATCCCCTGGGTTAGTTCTCAAGACAGCTCTGTGAAGTGGATTCTAACGCTGTCCCCATCTTAAAGACAAAGAAGCAGAGGCCCCAGGAGGTTACGGCCTGTCGGTGAGATGGTTTGACGGGCAGCAGCTCCGGCATTGGTCCAGGTCCTGTCCGAGCCCACCATGCACACTCCTGCCTTCTGCTGACTTGGCTGTGACTGTTGTGTGTGTGCAGAGCTTGCACCCCCATCTTTGGAGGCAGGAACCCAACGGGAATGACAGTGAGTGACCTGTTTGGGAGGCAGCTGGTGGACCCTGGAGTTAGGCCAGAGCTTCTCCTCCAGCTGTGCTCTGTGGCTTCAGCAAGCTGTTGAACTCCTCTGAGCCTCAGTTTTTCCATCTGTACAGGAAAACCTACTCAGCTCCTTGACATTGAGATGAGTCCTGTCCCTAGTGACCCTGGAGGGTGGAACAGAACTGCCCGAAAGGGCTTCCAAAGCTGCAAATCTTCCCCCTTCCCCCCAGATCTTTCCTTGGGTTTTTTTAGTTTTTTATTATTTTGTGTGTCTGTACCGTCAAATCTGATCTGACTGGTACAGGAGGAGATTGCCCCTCCTTCTGCAGCAGAGCATGTGGTGGATTCAAACCATAAACCTCAGTGCAGCTTCTCACCTTTGGGCCACCAGAGCTCCCTCCAAAGCTGCAAATCTTTAGAGGAACAGACCATCAAAGTCTTTCTCCCTCAGGACAGCTGGTGGATTTGAACTACTGATCTTCCAGTTAGCAGCAGAGTGCCCCAGTGCACCAGCTGGGCTCCATCGGTGAGGTGAGGCCAGTCATCGTGAGCGTGCAGTCTGCCGTGAGGACTGCAGTAGGTGTGTGTGGCACAATGGTTTGCGGGAGAGGAAGCAGCTGTGAGCAGCTCACACTTCGTGGCTTGGTTACCTGGTCGGACCCTCCCAGCACCTCCTCACAGGAGGCAAATGTAGTTCCCATTTTACAGATGGAAATACTGCGCCATGTGCTGCATGGTAGTGGCGATTCCCAGGCTCAGGGAGGACAGGCACTCAGGTCTCCAGTGATGAGAGGCTTTTGCCCTGCCTGTCTCGAGCTGGCGGAGGAGCTCGGTATGGCCTTCATGCCCTGCATCATGGGAACTGGAGATCTGCTGGCTGGGGTTCTGTCCAGAGGGATCCCTACTTGTCCCCTGGGGGCCCAGCACCTAAGGCTACATTGTAGTTCCCTCTTAGACACATCTCCCAGTGACTCCGGGTAGACTGAGGATGGTGGGGACAAAGCTGTAAACACACATCATTGGTGGCCCTTTTGCCAGGCCACGGCCTGCTGCCATCTAGCTTTCTAAAGGGAATAATGTCTGTGAAAGATTCTTCTGGAACACATTAAGCAATGACAGTGTTCCCCCTACTAATGCCCTTGGCTAACACCTTAGAATGATTGGATAGTTTGACTAGAAATTGAATGCATAGTGGCCAGGAAAAGGAGCCCTGGTGGCGCAGTTGTTAAATGCTTGATTGGTAACCAAAAGGTCAGTGGTTCAAATCCACGAGCCACTCTGAGGGAGACAGATGAGGCCGCCTGCCTCCATGGTGGTCAGAGCCTTGGAAACTCTGTGGGACTCTGCTCTGTCCCGTGGGGTCACATGACTCAGAATCAGCTCAGCATTTGTGGGTTTGGGATGTTTGTTGTTATACTTTGGTTTTAGTCTGGTCAGTTTGGGGCAGGAGGGGACATGTTCCAATAAATTCTCTGACTGAACATAGACTGTTCTAGAGAACCCGTGTGTCCCCAGCTCCTGCTGAGATCGCATTAGAGATGGTGACAAACAAGCATTGATTGTGCGCTGACTTCCTGTCAGGCATAGCCTGTGTGTCCAGATTTTTATTTAGAAAAAATATCGCCACTCGGAAACACTGAGCCGAAGCTGCCCCCTTAGGTGTCAGAGGTGCTGCCTGAAAGAAACTCCCCCAGAGCTTGACGGTAAAGAAAGACCCACGGGGTTTTCTGTCCGTGTAACTGCACTGTCTTGTATCAAAGTGTCCCTGCGACTTTGGCCCGTCCCCAGGGTGATGCGTGAACATGAACCTGTTAGGTCCCCGTGGGTTTCCAGTTCATGTAGACGCTTGATTGCCCCTCAGGGTGTGGGGAACTGCAGGTGTCTAGAAAAGTAGCAGCTGGGCCTCCAATTTGCTCTTTTTACGGCCCATGTATTTCAGCTGCAGGTGACACAGCCCAGTGCTTTTTGGCAGCGTGGTTTGAAAAATGAGATCACGTATAGCAAAGAATGAGATTGAAGGCCTGGGTCCCAGTGACGTACGGTGTGGGGCGCTTGACGGGCTGTTGAGCACACACTTCTCTTTAGACTGACAGAGACTCGGGCAGGCTTTGAGGAACCACAGCTGGCATTCTCTGTCTCCTTAGTTAGCAAAGGTCGCTTGAGGATCAGTGCAGAGGAGTCCAGGTGTCTTCCTTTAGGGTCACCCATCACGTCTGCTTGAACTGCGTTCTGTTAGCTAATCCTGAGACGGAGTGTGACCAGGACCCCTGGCCGGCAGGACAGCAGCCTGAACTGGAGACTCAGCCAGGACAGGCAGAATTGTGTGGCCCTGTTGGTCTGCTCTTCCTGGAGACACAGTGCAAGAGGAAACTTGCTTCTTAGTGTGTCCATACAGATACCAGTCGTGATTCTTAAAGCTGTTGGCCTTTCTGGATTAGAGACGAAACTAGGGATGTGTGTGGGTGTCTTGGGAACAGGAAATGTAGGAATGGGAAGGCTTGGCCCCACGAGGAGGAAACGTCTTCAGGGTCCAGTGTTAGTTGGAGGTCTGGCTTGTTGGAGACAGATGCTCAATGGTAGCCAATCAGAGGAGTTCAGTCTGGGTGTCCCGGACATCCCCCAACATTCAGTAATGGCTCAGTGACGTGAACTGTGAAGCCACGAGATCGTTTTGAGAGAGTTAACACAGGGACGGCCCCTGGGTCTCCGCTTACCCGTCACATCCTAGGATCTGTGGTGGCCAGCTGCAGTGCTACGTTGAGAAGGCTCGTGGGACCATGTCTTGGGAAGGAGGGATCTCCTGGTACCTTTTGTGGGTGATGAAAGAGGGCTAGGACCAGGCTCTTTTGTGGGATTGCCACTCCTGAGCTTGAGAACTGCTTGTTTTCAGATTTGAACAGGGTCGCACCAAGCTAAGGCCACTCTTCTGTCCAGCATGGCGCCACGGGCCTCAGACACCCCAGAACCCAGGGTGGTTGCTGACTCACAGCCTCTGCCCACCGTGCTGGTCTTCTTCCCTCATCTCTGCTCCCCCCATCCTCACGCCAGCCGGGCTCCCCAGCACTGCTCTCACAGGCTCTGCCTGCATTTCTCACGCCCAGAGCCGACTGATGGCTCTGGGGACGAGGATTCTGCCATGCCAGGGGGGGTAGCGCCTTCTGAGGCCTGGCTGCAGGAGGACCCGAGTCTAGACAGGGCTCCTGACCCACAGCCACAAGGCAGAAAGGATCCCCATGTTCCCTGTAGATCTGAGGGGAGTGACCATGCCCTCAGGACTTGGCAGGAACAAGCGTTTAAGGGAACTGATTGAGATGTTAGAGGTCAGCTCCAAAGGCCCCTCCTCTTCTCAGTGCTGGCCATTTATGGTGGCTTTGTGGGGCGCTCTGGTGACTGAGTGGTGAGGAGCTGCACTGCCAACCTGCAGTTCGTATCCACCGGGTGTTGTGCAGGAGAAGGATGGGCAGTCTCCTCCCGGGTGATTTACTGCCTCTGATAACCCGCTGGAGGGTCAGCTATGGGTCGGTTCCAAGTCAAAGGCCCTCAACAACAACAAGAAGTGGCATTTTGTCCTCGTGAAGTAGTGAGATAGGCGTTCTGGTGCTTCACGGATTGAATGTTGAGCTGCTACCAGTGGTTTTATATGGAAAGGTGAGGCAGTATCCTGTTGAGGGTTACGACCTTGGAAACAGGTGGCGGGTCGCCATGAGCAGGAATGAACTTGACAGTGTTGGGTTGGGATTGGGTTTAAGGTAGAAGGAGGTGTCCTAGTGGCGCAGAGCTTAAGCACTAAGCCACTGATAGACCAGTGGCTTACATCGCCGCGGAAGGAAGGTGTGCCAGTCTGATTCTATGAAAATGACAGCTTCTGAAACCCTCCAGGGTCACTGAGAGTCACAGTCAACAGCAGTGGGTTTGTAAAATAGAAAGTGAGAGATTGTGTAAGAGAAACAAAGCTTAGTTTAAATCTCATCTGAAATACCAATGAGAGACAGACCTTTTAAGTTCACTGAAAGCCAAGTCTGAGTTGTAAGAGAAATTGGCTGGGTGTGCACGAGGAATTTCATTAACACCGAGGCGGTGATTCAAATGGATTCTGAAGTCATCTGCTCCTTTATTGAAAACAGCAGGTGGCGCGGATGGGAGGTGACAGGCAATGCCCTGGCTGTGTTGTAGCTGTTTGTGTTTACTTAGAAAGTACAGAGTTTAGATTGGTACTTTATTTCCTTTCTTGTCTGCAAAGGCCTCTGGGCACCTTAGAGTTTGTTGCTAATGCCGGCAGTGGTCATACTACTCCTCTTCTGCTGAGCGTGATAAAGTCAGTTTTCACTAAATGCCTTTTCCTCTTGTGCTTCTGGGAGTGGCTTTGTTTGGGCTCAGACTTGAATCTCATTCTGAGAAACCTTTGGACTGACGCTCTTAGATCCTTAAGTTTTCCTCTTCAGAAGAACTAGTCGGAGTGAGGTGGCATCAAATGTCCTTTTCGTGTTGAAGTTCTACTCTATTGGCTTTTAAAAGCAATGCTGTCTTACTGAGAGTGATAGAAACTGTTTATTTTCTCAGTCTCTTCAGAACTTTGCGGAACTTTTGCCGTAAAAGCGCATGTTGAGTGTGGGCGCTGGGCATAGAGCTTTTCAGTTGCTCCCTAAGAAGTTTGCCTCCCATTTGGACAAGAACAAACTGGGAGGAGGGTAGAGAGAATAGTGCAACAATGAATGAATGGAAACCCAAAATCTCTGTAAATGTTTATGAAAATTAATAAAATATAATTATAGAAAAGAAAAAAAAAAAAGAAGTTTGCCTCCGCAGGAGCAGACCCTTGGATGCCGTCTCAGCCCACAGAGACGAGCTCATCCATGGCTCTTCCCCGTAATTCTTAGCACTCTTTCTTCTGAGAAATAACCCAGGTCATCCACGTGGTCCTGACAGCCAAGCTTCTTTAGGACTCAATCCAGAGACGGTCCTGGTTACCGTGACTCTGTCTGTAGGGACTGAGTGAGCAGGGCTGTGTCCTCCACACACTGAGTGGCATGGGTCAGCTGGGTCCCACTGCAGGGTGATACTGAGGGCCAGGCAGGGGCAGTGGGATCCGAGCAGCAGTTGCTCCCTTCCGGGACAGCCAGAGACACGTCATTCACCGTGCATGTGCAACTAACGGGGCCTAACTGAGTGACCTCCAGTCCTATCCATTAAGCTTCTGTCGGAACTGTCTAAGCCGTCTTCTCAAGCTTGTTGGCCTTGAGATCATAGCACGGTGAGCTCGCCTCTTGTGATAGTTGAGAGAAATTCTCAAGGACCTTCAGTTACTGTTGGTTCTTTAATCTGTCCGCCAACTATCCTTCTTTCCACTATTTGGTGGTATTGAAGTACTCTCCTGCGTTTCCCCAGGAAGACACAGTCACACTCAGCCTGTTGGGCCACCATGGCTTCTTGTGACCTTGAACTCTTGTAACCAAGGTGGAGATTCACCTTGGCGACCGCACCAGCTCTGGGAGGTTAATGAATAGGACTGCGACTGTGGTTGGTTTGAGGTGTCTTTGGCAGTAGAAGTAGACTGACACCCTGGCTGTGCTGGTGGACAAGACTCCTAACCTGCATTTCAACTGTGTAGGAAGCTGCAGAGAATTTGCAGGGAAGAAGGTGGCCAGAGACCTCTTCTCTGTTCCCAAGAGGGATGTGCCCTTACAGAAAGCTGTATATAACAGGCATACTAATGCCAGCTGGGTAACATGAATCCCACCCCTCAATGAAGGTCTTATCAGCCAATGTGGATGTCGTCATTGACCTGGTTACTCACCTTCCCATTGAAGTGCTAGCCTTTATGACAGCATCACCCCGTTATATTACCCTGAAGGATTGCAAAAGCTCTAGCTTGTTGGCGGTGACAGTGGTTGGCTGGCAATGATGGCAAACCATAAACTTGATGTGACTCACATCCTATCAGATGGAGCGAAACAAATGCCCTCATCAAATCTGCTGTTATTTGAAACCGTGCAGAGGTCGACCAGAGCTCAGCATCGTTCACCATCCTTCTATTTGGGAAACGGAGCCTTTTGAGTAATGACCTTGGTTCTTGTGTGCTGTGTCTGAGAGCCTCGGAGTCTGATGAATGGCTCTGATAAACAGTCAACAGACGTGCTGGGCTCCGGATGTGGGATTGCGGGCCTCTACCGTTAGTCGCTTTGTCTGCCCACCCAGGTGCCTAACGATAGATTTCCATAGATTGTACCCGCATCTCCCATCCATTGTCTGCATTTTCTCATGCAGTTGGTGTTCTTCGTTTCACAGTCATACAATGGCCCCATTCACGAGGCCATGAATGCAGTCTGCTTTTGAGGAATGTAGTCTTCTTTCGTCATATGATTAGTGCTAACTTTGTGAAAATGACAAACCCTTTCCCAGAGAGAAGCTGCTCACTCCGCGGATGTCTCCATCTCCAGAACAGCCTTGTACTCCCGCATCGGGACCACGGAGGCAGACAAAGGCCCGAGCGTCCTGTTCCAGTCCCCGGACTTGGACTCCGCGCTGCAGATTGCCAGGGCCGAGGTACGTGCGTGGAGCGTGGCCACAGGTCATGTCGTTCCTGCCATATGTAAGTAAACACCTGCGCCTGCAGGCCGAGGGGTGGTAACCTGGGCCTTCGATCAGCCCGGGTGCCTTTGCTTATTGGGCTTTTATGGCTTCATAATGAGAAACACGTTCACTTTGGTCGCTTCCCAGTGTGCAGTGGGAAGTCTGGATGTGGGACTATGACTCTTGGTTGATGTGTTGTTGTTGTTGTTGTTGTTGTTAGGTGCTGTAGAGTATGACTTGTAGTGACCCAGTCAACCATAGATCTGAGTTCTGTCCTGTCTTGTGTCATTCCCGCCCCCTCCAATTACACTCTACTATGCAACCTTCATTCTGGATTCTTGTGATAACCATAAAACCCATACATATGTTGCTTTTAAACTGTTTTCTCCCTCATCTGTTTCAATGCATTATACATAATTTATCCAGTTTTTCTCAATCTCACCCCAATCCTGATGTCAGTCCTGTGGTATTTTTTTGTTTTTGTTTTTGTTTTTTTTGTCTGTCCTGTTTTACAACAGTGGCACTACGCAGTATTTGTCCTTTTGTGACTGAGATATTTCACTCAGCATAACATCCTCCAGGGTCACCCATTTTGAATAATATTGCATGAGTTCCTTGGTTTTCAGTGCAGCATAGTATTCCATTGTGTGAATATACCACAGCTTCTCTATCAATTTGTTTATTCATGGGCACTTAGGTTGTTTCCAACTTCTTGCTATTGTGAACAAAGCCGCAATTAACATGGGTGTGCATATATCTGCCTGGGTGACAGTTACGGTCCCTTTAGGGTATATTCCCAGTAGAGGAATTGCTGTCATGTCTTTTTATCTCCCTTCACTCATTGGAGTCCATCGCCACAGACAGAGTCTCAGTCCATCTCGTTGAAGGTGGTTCTCTCCCTCACTGACCCTCCGCCTTTCCAAGCATGAGGTCTCTAGTGAGTCTTAATTCCACTCACAGTGCCGTTCCTCGGGGTCCGTGAGTGACTCGGGCTGGAATTCACCCATGTGAGGCTAACGGTTCTTTTCTTCTCCCCGTTCCAGATCATAACCAAGGAGAGAGAGGTCGCAGAGTGGAAGGACAAATACGAAGAGAGCAGGAGGGAGGTGATGGAAATGAGGTGGGTTGTTCAGCTTGATTAGGAGAGCTTTGGAATCTTCTGGGATTGGAGTTCAGGCTTTGCTGGTGGCTAACAGTTCTAGGTTCTCTTACGGGGAATAATTATTAACTAACTTAGGCAATCATGTTGTAAGGAAGGACCGGTCCTTGGAGAGGGACATCATGCTTGGGAGGGTGGAGGGACAGTGCAGGAGGGGAAGACCCTCTATGAGGTGGGTTGATTGAGTGACTGGGGTAATTGGGATGGGAGTGTCAGAGACAGTGCGATTGGCACAGGACAGAGCAGAGTTTAGGGCTGTTGTACATAGGGTCGCTGTGAGTCGCAAGCGACTCAACCACACATAACAAACAACAACAACAGGCAATACCTCTAGGTTTTAAAAACCACCCCTTTTAGAAGATTGATGATGGAGAGAGCGCTTCCTCACATCACTCGGTCCTTCTCACGTGGGGCGTCCTGGGGTGGTCCTACATGTCGATGAACTGTGTGCTTTTGTTTATTGAGGTTGCATAAGAGCTGCTCCTTCAGGCCTGCTTGCTGCCCTCACCCTCACACACAGCACACGGCAGGGAGTAAGACATGGCCTCTGGGCTTTGAGGGCGTTCCATTCTGAAAGAGGAGGCAGGACTCATGCACTGTGGGGCCTCGTATTTGAGATGCTTTAGATTAAACAGATGCAGATAAAATATTGTCGACTTCCAAGGAGGAGCCATGGAAGGCTTCCTGGAGGAGGTAGCATTTGACTTGGATTTGAGAAGCAAATCGGCTATGGGAGCTCGTGAGTGGAAATACTCCACGAGCAGAGATGTGGACATGAGACAGCTTAGAATGAACCGAAACCCTCAGTGCCAAGGCACAGTGTTCACGGGATGGTGTGGAGGGAGGTCAAGTTGGTGACCAAGGTCGGGCCCAGACTATGAAGGCTTCCATGTGTGATGACTTTTGGCCTGGAGGTTCTAATGTGTGTTCCTTTTCTTCCAGGAAAATAGTAGCAGAGTACGAGAAGACCATCGCTCAGATGATAGGTAGGTGTTCAACCCGAGGGACCCTGGCTTGGCCTCGGGTTTCTGGACTGTGTGTGGGCCATAGGGGTGGAGGGTGTGAGCTGAACACGCTACTCACAGGATCATCTCCTAGAACCAGACATCAGGGCTCTGCCCAGATCAGAGGGCCCAGGCACTGAGACCTGCTAACACCAGCTGCATCTCACGTGGTGTGATTCCTGCCTGGGGGGGCCGTCACTAGTACCTGAGGGCCACCACCCCAGCTGAGGACTATCCGGCTCACAAGGAACGTGATCTGGGGGCTTGTTTGCTCATAGGGTAGGAATTAAAGTCTCTTAATCCTCGTCTCATTAGAGACCTAAGACCCACTTAGCCTGTCCACCAGGCGAGGACAGCAGTGCTGTGACAGTGCAGCTGCCCCTTCCTGCGGCCCCCAGGGCTGAGACATTAACCCCCTCACTGGACTGGACAGTGCCTCAGAGTCCTTCCGACACAGCCTCCTGGACAGCCAGTCCTGAGGGCTCCGGGCAGCCTCGCATTAAGTCACACACACCTGCGTCTCCTCGCCCCCCCCTCTCTTTGTAATACACATTCTGAGAAAAAATCTGGCACAAATCTCAAACCCACATTGTTACATTCATAATCATCTTCAAAAGATGGTGTTGGGACGCTAGGACAGATAGTGTGCGTTTCGTAAATTCTGTTCTTCATTTGCTCAGGTCTGTAGTATCTATTCTTAGAAAACCTTAATTGAGAAAGTGTGAGGTAGATTCCTCAGCTCACCACAGGCAGAGTCCTGTGTCCAAGCTGGACACTTTGCTGGCGAGCGACTGACCTCTCTCTGTCAGACATTTGGATCTGAGTCACCTCACACCTCTCACTTGTCCCAAGGTAAACTTCACAGCAGCCTGGGGACGGTGAAGAGGCCAGGCCTTGAATGCTTTTCACCCACTGATTTTGGATTTATGGTAATACAGACCATTTCACCCCATAACTCAGCAGAGGCAGCTGTTTGAGGGTTTTTGAGGTTCAGCCTCATAGCATGTGCTTCCTATCAAGAAGAAATGTCTTTATTCCACTGATAGAGAAATTTATGGATACATATGGTTTGTGATTATCAAAACCTCTTGGAGGCAAAACTGCTGATCAAAGTGCGTAGGATGAAAGATTGACGTCTTCTAATACGCAGTCTTTGGCAAATTGAGCAAAGCCTTTGGCCTCTTGGAGTCTCAAGATGTGAGACCACCAGTTAGACGTCCGGTGTGCATCTGGAGGCCTCCATCGGAGCCTCAGCATCACGTGTTTTTATTTTGGTTGTTGGGGTGACGTGCAGATGAATGTGGAAGGAGTAGTAGAAGGGTCCGAGCTTCCAAAGGAAGGCTGCCCAGTACCAACTTCTGTTGCCCGCTTGGCAGATATGTAGAAGCAGATGGTTAGTCCGTCTTAAAAACGAAGAGATTCTTGGCATAGGTGCCGCCTGCCTTGTGGGAACAGATGACTCAGCACCGATGCTTCCTTCACAGAATAAGCACAAGGAGAGAGTTTCCAATACCACTTCCTTCCTAGACAGAATGAGGAGTGTGTAGAGTGTGAGTCCGGCTGAGGCCCCACTGTGGCTCTTCTCCCCCTCATCTTCCCTCCCACCCCTGAGCACTGGTGTGCTTGGTCTGGGGGTCTGGCTTTCGGGGTGGTACCATGAGGCCCCCTCGGCATCTCAACCTGGGAGCGACATTGCCAACAAGGGTTCTGTCTTGCTATCTGTCCGTTCCCCATCCTCACCCACCATCGTCTTCCTCATCCACTTTTCCAGAGTGTTTCTCATCAGAAAGGGGGCACATCAGTGGTGAGCATTGATTTGGGCCAATGTGGATTTTTTTAAGTCCTTGTGTGGGACAGAGTTGTGACTGGGACTCGCTGTGGCTGTGGACAGGATGTGCCTTCTTTCTGGTCAGGGCTGCGTGCAGACATGCTCGTGTGTCTTCCCTGGGTTCCATCCTTGTCTCTATTGTCACTCACCTCCCCAGCATCCTGCAGTGGGGTGGGGACCTCCGCCCTTGACACTCAGGACCAAAGTGGCTTCGGTTGCATGTGGAAGTTACAGCCAGTGCCATGTTCTCTGTCTGCCTGGCTCCAGCCGCTCTCAGGCTCCTCTGAAGCTCTCTCCATGCCTGTGCCAGCGTGCCCTTCCGTCCCCTGTCACAGTACATTCTCATCTCACCACATGTGACTCTTGACAGAGACTGTGTTTTATTAAAGCTCCGATAGTAAATACTCTGAATTCAGAACAGAGAGTGACTACAGTGCGTTCTGCATTCCAGGTTATTGCGATTGATTTTTTTTTCTGCTTTCCTAACAACTGGCCTGATTATCTGTTTTGCTTCCATTTTCTGTTGCTTCTTGCTCTTTGCTTGCAAAACAAACAGGCAAGCCTGGTAAGTAAACGCTTTTCCTTGATTTGATCCCTGCCCATTGTAACCCTTGTTTTGTTACATTTCCCCTGATTTTTTTTTTGTTTCTTTGTTTGTTCGTTTCTTTTGCTTTTATGTATTTGCTGCACTCCCCATGCACTTTGATGAGGCCTGGTCAGAAAGAGCCAGGACTGTTTTAGGGTCGTTGTTTGAACGTTAGGCCCGGAGCACCTTGGGCTCACGGCTTGCTTGGTCTCCTGAGTTGGAGGCCCTGGCTACTTTCATAATGTACAGGAAGGTTCCTGAAGCCTTTTGCCTTCTGGGACCGGAGATTCTATTTTCAGAAGGGCGGGCGGGAAGGAAACTCGAGCTTGACTGAGTCTCTACTTCAGGAAATGAGACTGCCTTCCCTCTGATAAATGGCTCCATTACCAGGTAACGTGAGGTGTAGACGTGACCTCAGATGAGCCCAGAATCTTTATCGAAGAGCCTTAGGGAAGCAACTAAAATCGTAAAAGGAGCTTTTTGCGATGCGTGGTGTTTTGAAATGCCCTCTCTTTGAACCGTCTAGAGGCACCAAACATGCTGGTCATGGTCTCTTCTTGCTGGAGGCCCTGAGTTAAGCATTTAACTACTAGCTGAAAGGTTGGCAGTTTGAACTCACAGAGGCCACTTGGAAATGGACCTGGAGGTCTGTTTCTAACAGGTCACACACGGGGTCACCCTCCATTGGAACTGGGCCCATCGCCACTAGCGGCTGTTGTCACTGCATGTGGAAAACCTTCTCCAGAATGTCACTGTTGTGACATCTCAGCTCTTCAGGGGCGATGACATTGTTGACAATAACTAAAAAAATCCCCACCCCGAAATCCCACTGCTGTGACGCGATCCTGCTGATCCTGACCCCACAGGGCCGAGCAGGGTCCCCCAGGCTTCCCGAGGCATCTCGATGGAGATGGGCTGCCTCGTCCTTCCCCCCCAGAGCTGCTGCTGGTTTGCAGTGTGGCGCTTTCAGTGAGCGGCGAGGAGCTTGGCCACTGCACTACCCGGCCTCCCGTTGAGAACAAACCAAGTCAGGCCCACTGCTTTCCAGGTCCAGCTCTGGGCCGCTGGTTCTGAGAGGCCTGTGAGCACTGAGGCAGGACTGAGGGACACCAGGCCCCTCCTGTCCAGGGCTGCTCCATGCAGGGCCACTGGAACAGCAGCGGTGTCCGACATTGACACTTGCTGTGCATACCCGTCCCGGGGCACGTCTTAGATCCCCAAGGTCAGAGCCTCTGCAGTGACCAGGCCTCCTGCTCCTCTGACTGTGAGGACTTCGCTCTGGGTCAACCCCCTTCTTCTTGGACTTGAGGCCCTGAAACTGAGGATGGGGAACTTTGAGCCGATTGAACAGAACTGGAAGTAAAATCCAGATGGTGCCCTTGCTCCTGTTCACCCCCACACACCCCAAGAATGCACCAGCTCTCAGCATGTCAGGGCTCTCCTCTGTCAGAGACCAGGAGGAGACACCAAGTCTCACCTCCCCGCAGTGAAGGGGATTGTGAACCTTCAAGGCCATCACCCAAAGGGGACCGAGTAGAGATGTGAACACGGGCTGGGTTATCACAGGCTTTGTTGCTTCCTAGTTGCGGTGTAACTTCCAAGCCCTTAGTTTTGCCTTCTGTAAAATAGGGCTAAGCAAACCCACCCTTTAGTTGGTTGAGGCATGAGATTCATTGATTCCACAGAGGTGTGCTGGGTTCCCTGGAGGCCTAGACCCTGGGGTCAGAGCAGCGAACAGAACAGACTCAGGTGCCTGCCCTCACGTAGCATGTGTTCAGGAGGGAGATTCACAACTCACAGATGTGCGTGTGCACACACACATGTGCACGTGAACACAGGCAGCACACACGTGAACGCAGTCTGCGCACACACGTGCACGTGAACGCAGTCTGCACACACACGTGCACGTGAACGCAGTCTGCGCACACACGTGCACGTGAACGCAGTCTGCGCACACACGTGCACGTGAACGCAGTCTGCGCACACACGTGCACGTGAACGCAGTCTGCACACACACGTGCACGTGAACGCAGTCTGCACACACACATGCACGTGAACAGTCTGCACACACGTGCACGTGAACGCAGTCAGTACACACGTGCACGTGAACGCAGTCTGCACACACACATGCACGTGAACGCAGTCTGCGCACACACGTGCACGTGAACGCAGTTTGCGCACACACGTGCACGTGAACGCAGTCTGCGCACACACGTGCACGTGAACGCAGTCAGTACATACATGCACGTGAACGCAGAATGCACACACATGCACGTGAACAGAGTGCACACACACGTGCACGTGAACATAGTCTGCACGTGCACGTGAACAGTCTGCACACACGTGCACGTGAACGCAGTCAGTACACACATGCACATGAACAGTCTGCACACACACGTGCACATGAACATAGCCTGCACACACACGTGCACGTGAACAGTCTGCACACATGTGCACATAAACATTCTGAACACAGTCTGCACACACACGCATGTGAACAGTCTGCACACATACGTGCATGTGAACGCAGTCAGTACACACATGCACGTGAACGCAGTCTGCACACACACGTGCACGTGAACGCAGTCTGCACACACAGCACCACACATGCATTTGCATATACTCATATCACATGCACACACATGCAATATAACACATGTGTGAAGGCCTGCACACACGTGTGTACATTTTGTGCACACACACGTGCACCTACATGTTTGATGTAGATAAGGAGAGAGCACTGCTATAAAGAGGAAGTAAAGGGATAGAGTGGGCTCAGCCAGGTGCCTGGTGGTCAGACCCTCGCCCCTGTGTGGACGTGCGTGGAGCATGGGAAGGGCCAGGGACCTGCAGAGAGGAGAGGCCAACTTTGTCCCAGTGCAGTGAGCCCGTGGGAGGGGCGCCGGGCAGCAGAGATGTGGTGGTTTGTAGCTTAGGAAGCTTGAGCCGGTGCTGGGTGCCGACAGGGGAACACTGGCTGAGGACAGCAGTCGACATGGCACTGCCCTACACAAGTGCCCAGTAGGTGCTGGCCACTGCTGTTGAATGTCACGGTCACTGTGTCTGGACATGTGCCATGCTACACGCTGACCTGGACCAATAGCAGACAGGTCTGGCTGTGCTGAGCGCCTTCCTGGGAGCTTGGGGTGGGGGGTACTGTCCTGCCCTGCACCTGGTTGTCCCCAAGGCTGGCGTGTGTAGTGTGAATGAGGGGCTGTCAGAGAAGACAGGTGCATGGGACGGAGTGTTGTCTGAGGGGGACCGCAGGCTGCAGTGGGCCAGCTGCTGGCCAAGCCTTCAACTGGGCACCGAGCCCAAACCCCGCCTTGTTAGTGCACAGTCAGGTGCTGGTGCCCCACTTGGGCGTGAAGCCCTAAGTGCTCACTGCAACCACAAAGGATGCCTGTTTTTGCGTGAAATAGAATTTCAGGGAGACCATTATGTCAGCTTTGGGTTCCTGGGTTATATCTGTTGCCAATCACCAAATCCGTGAGGTTTTTAAAATAGCTTTTTAAGGGGCTGCATTCATCAGGGGAGAGAGTAGAGGTAACCCTTCCCCGTCTGGTGCTGCATGGGTCCAGGTTCTGGGCATGGATGCTTAGTCCTCTTGGAATAGAAACTAGGTGGTTCTGGGGGAGGGGGTTTGGCCCAGGTAAAACCTGGGCCCCGGTGCCCTCACTGGTCAGCTGTGCCGCAGAGGGGCCTCTGTCGGGCAGAGTCTCAGTTTGCATCCACGGGTTTGATCATCTCACTTTGTCTCTCCCACCAGAGGACGAGCAGCGGGAGAAGTCTGTGTCCCACCACACAGTCCAGCAGCTGGTCCTGGAGAAGGAGCAGGCCCTGGCTGACCTGAACTCCGTCGAGAAATCGCTGGCTGACCTTTTCAGGAGATATGAGAAGATGAAAGAGGTCCTGGAGGGCTTCCGGAAGGTGTGTGCCCAGGGCTGAGCAGGGGGCTGTCGGGGTGGAGAGGGTGCAGGGATGGGCATGGAGGGTACAGGGGTGGGACAGATGGGTGCTCGGGGTTGAGCAGGGGGCTGTGGGGGTGGACATGGAGGGTGCAGAGGTGCGACATATGTGTGGTCAGGGCTGAGTGGGGGGCTGTGGGGGATGGGTGAAGGGATGGACAGATGTCTGGTCAGGGCTGAGCAGGGGGCTGCATGAGCGGACATGGAGGGTACAGAAGTGGGACAGATGTGTGGTCAGGGTTGAGCGGGGTCTGCGGGGGGTGGGTGCAGGGGTGGACAGATGTCTGGTCAGGGCTGAGCAGGGGGGCTGCATGAGTGGACACGGAGGGTGCAGAGGGCTGAGAGGGGCACAGCGTGTGCCGGTGTGGGAGAAATGTGAGGCAGGGGTTCTTGGAGGCTGTCTCAAGCAGGCAGCTGGGCTGTCCGGGTTTGTACCTGCGTCAGCGGGGTCCTGACCACACCCTCTGTCCTCTCAGAATGAAGAGGTGCTGAAGAAGTGTGCCCAGGAGTACCTGTCACGAGTAAAGAAGGAGGAGCAGAGGTACCAGGCCCTGAAGGTGCACGCGGAGGAGAAGCTGGACAGGTAAGGCAGCCTGCGCTCTGCTCCCCGGGGGGCGCCCCTCAGACCCTCTGTCAGGCTGTCACCCATCTTTGGCCCGGAAGGGGTGGGCAGTTTATCAAACAGCTCATAGCAAAGGTTGTCATGTGTTGATGTTGAGCGAGTCTGCCCCAGCTCATTAATACGGTCCTCGCCTCCTGTGAGGGAGATCCAAGTTTAAGTCCCGACCAGGACACGTGAAGAGCTGCCACCACCTGCCCACCACCCCCGGCAGTGATGTCCAGCTAGAGTGTGTACTCGGTTTCAGCAGAGCTGCTAGACTGAGACAGACCAGGAAGAAAGGCCTGGTGATCTACTTCGGGTGGTCAGCCTGTGAACATCCTGTAAATCCCAGCGACCCCATCCACAGTCACAGGGACCACTTGAGACCAGGCTGCCACCAGTCACGGCCTGAATGCTGTCCATTAGCATCTCTTGACAAGCAAAGGGTGCCCCCATCATGCTCAGGGAGTCTGGCATCATGGGAACAGGAGTCGAGGTGGGGTGAGGGGAGTGCTGTGATGTCCTGTACTTGGGGTCCGTTGGTGGAGCTGCCCTTCAGGGATGTGAGATGCATCCAGGGTGAGGACGGCATTCTGAGTCTCTGTCCCCGCAGGGCCAATGCCGAGATCGCCCAGGTCCGAGGCAAGGCGCAGCAGGAACAGGCCGCCTACCAGGCCAGCCTGCGAAAGGAGCAGCTGCGAGTGGACGCGCTGGAGAGGACGCTGGAGCAGAAGGTGACAGGCAGAGGGGGCAGGGCCCGGCCCACCAGGCTGATGAATGGGGTGGAAGGGCTGGGCTCTGGCTCTGCAGGGTCCACTGCTGCTTCCAGGACAGAACCAGGGGAACGACCCCATCACAAAGTCCCCCTTCCTGGCCAGGTCCTTGTCTGCCCTTGGCCTTTCCTAGACTCACTGCCCGTGTGATGCTGACTGTGGTGTTGCTTTAAAAAGCTGCCAAAGAGCTCTGCCCAGACCCCTGTAGAGGCAACAGAGAAGAGTGTCCTTCAGGGCCGTCGAGGGAGGAAACCCATGTTTGTGAGCCCCCACGTGCTTGACACAGTGTAGAGGCTTGGAGACGTGACATTGTCTCCTTCAGTAGAGTCCAGCAGCAGCGTCCAGTGTGGAGACATGGTCCAGCACAGCTGCTCTAACCCGTGGAGCTGCGCTCAGGTTATGTTACACCCCAGGTCACACAGCCAGAGCTGCGATGATGTCTTCTCGGGCTGTGTGACTCCAAGTCGCCTGTCTGGCTGCCTTTGATAATTTAGGGGGGATCAAGAAGCCTGGTGGGCCCCTCACTTGGCCTGGATTGATTCCCCGTATCAGCAGCCTCTCTCTCGCCTTCACTTTCAGAACAAAGAGATAGAAGAACTCACCAAGATCTGTGACGAGCTGATCGCCAAGATGGGGAAGAGCTAACTTTGAACCAAAGGTCTGGACTTGACCGTCGTGTGCAATAGGGCCCTCGCCCGCTGCTGCCCTCCCGGCCGCGTGGACTGGCCCTGTTTGACCTTGTCTTCTGCACTACTGTACTTCCTTCCTCATCGAAGCTGCTTTGATTGGACGCAGCAGCAGGAGACGATCAGAATTTCTTGCTATTGGTTTGCGTTTCCCTAGTATCAGTTATAGCAAGTTGACCTCAGAGTTCCTGTATCAGGGAGATTGTCTGATTCTCTAATAAAAGACACACATCGCTGACCTTGGCTTTGCCCTTTGCCCCTGAGTTGCCAGGTGAGCGGCTTTTGGACTCCGCAGAAACGTGCAACTTGACAGGGACTCTTGCCTTAAGGAGTGTAAACTTGATCTGCATTTGCTGATTTGTTAAAAAAAAATGCATGTTTCAAATAAAACTATTGTAAATAAATTTTTTTTCCTTTGGATCTTGGCAATAAGTGTGGCTATGGTTGCTTTTTTTGGGAAGAGGGGATCTTTGCTTGCCTTAGTGATGTGATAACAAATTGGGCTTCCATCTTTGCTGCCTGGACTCATTTCATTGTCTGTAAATTTGAATTTTTCCTTCATGCTGTAAGTTGGGCTGGTGAGAGGAAGCAGATGAGAAGTACTGGCTGGCTGCTTGATACAGCAGTGAATGTACTGTGCTACCTTGGGCTTCTCTGGCTGGGTTTTCACCCCCAGAGTCTCTTTGACTTTTGAGTGGGAAAGTCTATTTCTAGCACTGGTGCAAGGAAGCCAGGAGTGTCACTGTCGCTGTTGTGTGTCTTCCTGTGTGAAGACAGTAACCCTGGGTGGTTGTCCAGTTCACTCTACAAAATCATATCAAACCACCCAAGTCCCCACTATTGAGTTGACTGTCTCCTGACCCTCTGGGCTTCCACGGCTCTACGTCCCTATGGGAGGAGATGGCCCGTCTTTCTTCCTTGGAGCAGCTAGGAGGTTTGAACCTCTAGCCTTTTAGTTAGGACTCCTGTCACTGTGCTGTCAGTGCTGTAGTTCGCCCTTCTCGCACGGGCAAAAGAACTGTGGCAAACGGGAAGAGATGAGAGTAGGGAAGGGTATCGAGGTAGCACAGGGTGTAGCGATCTTAGGGTCTCCTGCGAGAGCTGACCTCAGCGTACAGAGTGTTCAAGCATAGGCTGAAGCGTTTTGTCGAAGCCTGGGGCCTTAGAAATGCGCTGTCACTGTTCTGAAGAGTGGTCCAGCCTCCAGATGTCAGCAGAACTGATTCCTTCGGAGGCTCTGAGACCTGGATCCCTGGCATCCTAGCTGCTCTGTGCCCTGGCGTGGGGTTTGGGACTGAAGTGGCCTCTGTGACCACATGACCATCTTCTGTGTGGTCAGTCCCCCCCATCCTCTTCCAACAACCTTTGTCATTAGACTTAAAGCCCGCCTTAAACCCAGGATACCCTCATCTGCCAATCTCAATTACCTCTGCAAAGAGCCCCTTTCTAAATAAGGGATCTGATGGAGCCTGTCTTTTCGGGGGTACAAATGTGCAAGCAGGGATGTATGTGGGGTTTGTAGTAAGCAGGGACAGGAGCCCCCCAACATCCCTGTGGATAACTAGGTCAGGAAGGAGCTTAGCCCCGGGCTCAGCACAAGCTGAGAACCCAGGGGTGGAGCTCAGCCCTGCACCCTCTGCTGTGCATTTTAGCATGGCCACGCACCCTCTCTGGGCCCCATTCTTCTCGTGCTGGGATCACAGGACTGACCCACTGAGCTGCTTACCCAGGAACTGGCATGAGCTCAGCACAGTGTGGCTCCCGGACTCCAGGCGTTCCTCTGTCATGGCTATAGGTCACACTGCACGTGATCAGGAGGGCACAGACAGGCAGGGTTCAGATCTGTTCACAGGGTGCTGTGAGTTGTAGTAGACTCGATGGCCCCCTCGCAGCAACACAGCTGTCGCACTTGTGGCCTCAGTCGCTGCAAGGATTGAGGACTGCACAAGACCCAGCAGCATTGAGTTCTGGCGCACCCGGGCTCACTGTGCATCAGAACCGACCCCTGGTCCTCCACCACAGAGGTTTGCTAGCGTCCCACCCGCTGCCTGTTCCACTTTGCTGGAGGAGTGGAAGAGCCCAGAAGCCAGCACCTGACCTGGCTCCAAGCTCCCTCAGGCCACTGAGCTAATAACCCCAGATGCTCCGATCTCCTGGGAACAGCCATCTGCCAACTCAGCTAGAATCTCGAGCTTTTAACATTTTTCCCCTTGGTTCAGCGTTTCCTTGAAGTGCTCTAGTTAGAGCCTCTAGTGTCAGAAATGCTAAAATGCACTTGTGACAGCAGAACGGGTGGAGGGGGACAGAGAGAAGAGGGGAGTATTTCTTTTTGTCCAAGATGAGGGCTCCTTTATTCATGTGTGAGATTAGAGAGGCCCAAGGCCAGACAGGAAGCATCCCGCTGTGTCCAGCTCCTCCCTATCCCAGGGAGGCACAGACAGCCCTCTGCTGGCACCAGAAGCAATGCAGGGGTGAGGAGAGTGCCTCAGTCCTGGGCCTGGTAAGACACAGGATTCAAAGCAAAGTTCGGCTGTCTGTGGCATTGCACTTGAGAATGGAAAGGTGTGGAGTAGGGCAGGGTTGAGGCCGGAGCATGGTGGTCGTGAGTGGGCGTAGAGAGGGGTGTGCACATGCAGGAAGTGGGGCAATTTAGCACCAGGGTGTGCTGCTCACTCTTTGTAACCTCAGGACCAGGTGGTGACCGGGGAAACTGTCTTCTGTAAAGAAAACAAGGGCTCAGAGGGGTTGAAATGTGTTCACATGTCACGCCCAGAACTGGGGAGGCCAGGATTTGAACCCTGGTTTCTAGGGCTCCAAGGCCTCTTGTTGGGTGCTGACAAGTGGGTTCCAGTTCACAGCTGACCCACAAAGTAGAGCTGTCATATCGGGTTGTCTGAGGTGTAATCTTTATGGGGACAGACCACGCAGCCTTTCTCCCACGTGGACACGGGGTTAGTTTGAACAGCCATCCTCTCATTCAGCAGCGCTGAGCTTTAACTGTTTACACCACCAGGGCTGCTGGGTCTCTCAGCTCGCGACCATCTTTGTGAGGAGGCTGAAGTGGAAGGAGGTGAGCAGAGAATGAAGTATGTGTTCTGTGGCCTGAGGTGTGTCCTGTCCACAGGTCCTGACATCTACTTTGTAGATCAGTGGCCCTGCTGTCAAGTCCAAGCTAGCTCCCCCATAGTTCTCACGCGCTAGAAAAATAATGCTCTTTGTTCACAGGCCCCTCCTGCAGGCCCCTCCCAGGAAGGTGGTTTGTTGTAAGGCTTTTTGTGTGGACTCGGTGCTTGCCTGTGTTTATGTATTCCAAGGCTTGTCTGTGGTCCTGAGCACCTCTCCAGGTAGGGACTCTTCAGCCAGCAGAGCTGCCTCACACTGGGGCTGAGAACCCCAGATTGCTGAACTCAGGCCCAATCTCCCAGAGATCTGAACTGAGAAGCTGGCGTCTGAACTGGGCCTACAGGGTGTGGGCACCATAGATGCTTCCCTAGATGACCACTAGAGGGCGCGCAGGGCCTGCTCTGAGTGGTACCCAGAGAGCATCCCTGAGTGGGATGTTGGCATGGGCCTGTGTGTCTGACTTTTTAACTGAAATCTTATGTGGAGCTCCACATTCCAGGGTCAGCTGGCTGAGGCGAGTTTGGGCAGGATGAGAGGAGAGGTAGGCGCAGCTTGTGTGCTGTTGATTCTCAATAGCCACCCCATGTGACAGAGAACAACTATCCCTTTGGGTTTTCTGTAGTCTTTACAGGAACATGTCGTCATGTCTGTGTCCCTCAGAGCTGGCACAGAGGGAGTGAATATGTCCATGCGTGGCTGAGACCTGCCCCGTCCCAAGCACGCACCATGCTCCTGGCACTAGGCTGTGAGGGATGATGCAGACCCAGACACAAAGATAGGACACCACAGAAAGACCTGATGGGAGACAAACTGGGACCAAGATTAGACGGCCGAGGCTATGGTATAAAGAGACTGCCAAATACAGCCAGAAATGCACAATCTGAAGATAATAAAATCAATGAATGGGACCTTCTAAAGATGAAATCCCTGTGTGCATCAAAAATTTTTTTCCAACAGAGTGAAAAGAAAACCTACTGACTGGGAACAATATTTGGCAATACCATTTCAGACAAGGATCTCATATAAGAAGTTTACAAATCCTGCAGGGCCTCCACGAGAAGAAGGCTGGTAACACAATTACAAAATGGGCAGAAGACATGGGAAGAATTTTCACAGAGAAAGATATTCAGATTGCCAACAGACACATGAAGAAATACTTCAAATTACCGGCAATAAGAGAGATGCAAATCAAAACCATAATGAGATACCATCTCACCCCAATATGCAGTGGCAAACTTTAACAGGACAGCAAGTAATAAATGTTGGAGAGGATGTGGTGAGATAGGAACTCTTACACATTGCTGGTGGGATTATAAAATGGTACAACCACTCTGGAAGGCAGTTTGGCACATCCTCAAAAAGCTTAACATAAATATTTCATATGACCAGTTATTCCAATACTTGGAATATGCCCCAAGAAGATGAGAACTGAGGCACAGAGACTTGTACACCAAGGTACATAGCAGCGTTATTCACCATCGCAAGAACATGGAAAAACAGCCCCAAATGTCCAAACACAATCGAATAGATTAATTATGGTACACTCACAGAGTGGAATACTATGCAGCATGCAAGAGCAATGATTTTTGTAAAATACCCCCTACCCCATCTCACCCTCGCCCATCCTCACCCTCTGCCCTCCCCTCCCCCTTGGATTCTCATACATGTTCGACAATAATGGTCTTATACAGTATTTGTCCTTATAAGACTGAGTTAGTTCACTTAGCATAATGCTTGCCAGTCCCTCCCAATTTAGGTAGTTGTTGTTATGTGCCATCGAGTTGCTTGCCACTCATAGTGACACTATGTACAACTCTGCTCTGTCCTGTGCCATTC